CAAGAGCCGTGTTTGACAGATGCAATGCTTGTATTGCTGCAAGAGGTGCACATTTCGAACAAAATCTTCATTAAAAAGTTTATAAATAAAATAATTAAAATAATAAATTAAATATATTTTTTTCTTTTTTCGTGATTTCCTGCGAAACAAAGCAAAAAGGAGCATATGTCTATAGGACTTTTTTTCTTAGTTTTTTACTCCTCTACACGCTCCCGAAGTTTTGCCATTTAATTTGGAAACACCCTGTATATATATTTATAATATTCTTGAAGCTGTTAAAAATTGAAATTTTTGTTGTTAATACCCGGCTGTTTCTTCTTAATTCTTTTTATAACACTTTCTCAAGTAATTGAGGATCCATATGGACAGAGCTTGCGAATGTAAATAAACAGAAAAAAACGAATTTCGGTTTAACTTATTTTTTATTTTTCCCTAGTTCTGAAAATTAGAAAAAGATAAAGTAATTAAAATTTACTTAATTGAAATTACTTTGGTAGAAATAGACATTAAACGAATTCGCGGTTTCTTTTTTAAATCAATCGTACGAGAAAAAGAAGTGAGTTTCAGCGCCACCTGGTTCGAAAAACTGCAAACTAAAGTCACGTGTAGTGGGAAGTTAGATTGATAAAAATACTCGCCAGACGCCAGTTTACCGACTTGGAATTATTCTAGCGACGTTCGTGTCGCGACGTTGGCGCCACTGCTATTCAAAATATTTTGAACGCGTCCCAACGCAACAGTTATATGGTTATCAATGGTTATGATTATTATGATATACTGGAGTAAATCGTACAACCAGTTGCAACACTTGCAACCAGTTTAGACTCAAAGCAGACATAAGTTATTATTTACTCGAACTTGTTCGCAAGTGCAATGGCTATTGAGGGGCTTAAGTGCAATGTACTTGACATCTTCCAAAATGACTACAACATTAAGGATAAATGGATATCGTCGTGTCGAGAGTTTCGGCTACGTGTCGACGCCAGGATCGAACAGGGGCACCTCTATGAAAAGGGTACAGTCCCCCAGTGTGTGCTTTTGTAATTACAAACTGTCGAAGACTATCGGCGAAAAAATCGAACTCACTCACATCAACAATAAGTTACTCACGAGAATTCATTTACAAGTACAAGATCCGGTTCCATCAATGTAAAATTAAACTTTAATCTCGGTTACTCTTTATCTTTTTCTAATTCTAAGGCCCAGTTCTACAACTCACGGTTAACTCTTAACCAAAGTTCAACTTATTTCTCATCTTTTTTCCAATTCTAGAAATTCTTGAAATGAGACAATGAATAAATTGAACCTCGGTTAAGAGTTAATTGTGAGTTATGAAACTGGGCCTAAGAATTCTAAAACTTAGAAAAGGATAAATAGTAAGCTAAGATTGAAGTTAATCTTACATTGGTGGAACCAGGCTAACTAGAGCAATCTTTTGTCTTTGCTTTGCAGATTGTAGTAAAAAAAAATCTGTCTACACTGACAAGATGTCAGAGTTGCAACAGGAAATTAGCACAACAAAATCTAACATAGACTCTGTCATATTGCAACAGAAAATAATGGATAAGAAGATATCAAACGTGATAAAGTTACAAGAGGATCTGAAGGATGAGCTGGAAAAGGCAAAGGCACGAAAAGAAGTCTTGTTGCTGGAAATGGTGGATCTACAGTATGGTAAGTACACCTTTTTGCCTGGATCTGAATCTACAAGTTCAGTATTGCATTGTTTCTCTCCCAATCGAATCTACTCTTATTTCATTTTAATGTTTACAGAAGTAGAAGAAAGAAAGAAAAAGAAAATCTTACAATGGGACGCCATTAAACGTGCATGTAACATTTACAAAGTACATTTGGATGTATATATAAGTCTTCAAGAGGATGAGGATTGTCAGTTCATAAAAATATCCTTTTTCACAAACAACGAAGAGACAAAGAATAAATACTTTGTTCAATTATCATACAGTGATAACCACTGCACAGGTATGTAACATTCTAAATTAAATCCGGAATAACAAATATAATTAGTTAACGCTATTGAGACAGTTAATCATTATTTCAGTCGAACGAATTGAACCGAGAATAAACAAAGAACATTTCAACGAACTAAGCAGTATAAAGGATTCTTCTGAACATTCCAAAGTTTCGGATATTACTTTGTTTCTGTGTCAGGTACGAAGTTTATTTCTAAAGCATTACATGAAAACGTAGAAAAAAAATTATAAAACATGTAATGCATAGTTAATTATAATAACTTGTAAAATAGACGTATTTTTTTAAGATAAGAAATAACATGTTCTACTCCTCGTTGCGAGAGTGATTTTTATTAATAAAGTTTTTATTAAAAGTTTAGATAACTAAAATAAATTGTATATGTATAAGATATGTAACATACGACACTGTCTAAACGTCGGCACGGTTTTATTTAATTATATTTATATGTGTATATATCATCATTACAGCGATATATTTTTTGTTTCTCCAATTTTTATTTTGTCATAAAAGTCATAAAAGAGCAAATTGTAAATCACAGTGGGGATAAATAATAACTTAGTCGCTAAAATTATATAAACAGGTCTCTGCTTTTGTCTTTTTATAAGTATATGTACGTACATATACTTATACATATGTATGTATGTATATATATATATATAAATGGTACCTACATACACATGTAACATTGCGTCGTCCTCATAGACATCGCGAGAAATTCACTTATAAGTAAAATCAGTACGATATTTTGACCTTAACGTTAATATACCGCGTGATTATCTTTGATAGTATTTCATATACTTGCATACTTATTAAATAGGCGTTATATTTACTCGTTGTAATACTTAATCATTTCTTTCACGATTCTCGCGATGCCTCTCCACGACGAAAAGTTATTCTTCATTAAAATACTTAATAGAGATAAATTATTTTGATTCTGAGTTCTAGCTAAAATTAAGCTAGCAGTCGTGCTATTGGCTGCCTTCTGTATATATCTATATAGTATGTGAAAAATCAAGAGATACTAATCATGCCCGTTTAAAATGTATGATGACTGTTTCTGCCAACGTAGATTAACTTTAATCTCGGTTCAACTTACTCTTATAATTCTAACTTATAATTCTTAGAACTAGAAAGAGTTAGTTAAATAAAAATTAAACTACATTGATAGAAAAAAATGGACATAATAAATTTAATGATCTCGAGTCAAAAATGGCGCCATTTGCACGGTAATCTTTTTAAGGATCTTGCAAATTTTCATATTACATTTAGCCGAAACCTTTGATTTACAATTAACACATATTGATTAAGGGAAGAATGCTTCGTAAGGTGTTTCTTTTCATGAATCTTTCGGAAGAACGGACGTTTATACTATATTTACCGTAATATTATTTACGCGCGCATGGAATAACCGAACACCGTACGCGGATGACGAACGGACTGATCCTATTATGTATGCGTAGAGGCACGCTGATAACAATTCGTCCCTATTGGCACGAGTTAACGAAGGAGTCAATTGATCGCCCACTGCCAATCTGCCCGTGCCAATGGCATAAAGTTAACAGATTTCATTTGCTCCATTGACCCGTCGGGAATTCATTTGCATATACATGACCATCGAGAAACTTGAGTGAAGACCGAAGTCTTCCGCGAGTTATCACGTTGTAAAATGTTGCTGTTTTCCTTCATTCACATCGTCGCTCTGTGATATGTCGGAAACTTATCAGAAAACGATGATTAACATATTTCCGCTGTGGGAAACACTCTACGTACCTTTGCAAAATACAATGATATTGAACATATATTTTTTATTGTTTCGTTATATTGCGGATGCAATTGCATCTGTCGAGAACGCCATACGTTTAAGCGAAAAAGAGCGAATTGATACCAAGTGAATGTATCACCAATCCATGGTGGAATCGCCGTGTTGCCAATCCATGCGATATCGAATTTCGCAGACACGTTATCGGCCATTCTCTATTTCGCGCGCTCAACGAAGAGGAAAATTTGAGACTTATTTCTACGTAAACGCGGAACTTTTCGCCAGTGAAGACTATTTACAATGCAAGGGCATGTAAGGATCTCATTTGTTGCCGAACAAAAAAGTGAATATAATTTATTAGTATGCGGTACAATTCCACATTCGTTTCCTCTTGACGTACGGAATCTGGAGCTTGAATTTTTCTCAAATTATTTCAAGACTCCAATATCAAATAAACGAGTGGTCCTCGTTCGCGAATATCCAACGGGATGTTTTTGGACGCGCAAGATTCTCCTAAGTATACATATCGAAGCTGTCCTGGTCCGTCTCGGGACTTGCTACGATTAAAGAAGGTGCTTCTCTCGGCGACTTACGAGATCGCCGAGCGCGCAAAATCGCTTCTCTATTTATGTGCAGAGACAAACGCACAAACACACCGCCACCTTCGAAATCACTGGGAACGAAATTCTCCAAGAACGCTCGGAAATACCGTCGAGCATGTTACATTTCACGATGTACATACACGCGATGCGCACTACAATGGGTGTCTACAGAGACGGCGTTGTTTCTAACAATCGTTCCGCTCATACTTTGGTGGTCTACCTCGCGCCTTTCTTGCCGTCTCGTCCAAACGAAGACAAGTTCTTGCGCGAATTTCTTAGATCTCTCCTCCTTTTCATCGTCGGATCTTCACCCTGCTTGATGTGGTGCTCGCGCAATTATTCTCATAGGGCCAGCACGCACCGCGGCGACGCTGGAGCCTTTACTCGAGGGTGGCAGCAAAGGACACGTTGCTCCCGGATGCGGCCGCCGCGGCG